AGCATTGGTGTCACTGGGAGCTTATTAGAAATTAGAAATGCAGCATATTGGGCCTCACTCCAGACCTACTGATTCAGAATCTGCATTTTTATTTAATTGTTTGACTTTTTTTTTTTAATGGTTACTTTTTGTATATGTATAATTTATTTTTATTGTTGAGAATATACACAGCAGAACGTAAACCAGTTCCACAATTTCTGCGTATACAGTTCAGTGACATTGATTACATTCTTTAAGTTGTGCAACGACTCTCACCCTCCTTTTCCAAATTGTCCCTCCCATTAACATAAACTCATTGTCACCTATGTTTTCTAGCTAATCCTTTGAGTTGTTGTTGTCAGTTTGATCCCATATAGAGCACGCTGCTCAAGGCAGACATTCTTTACTAGTTAAGCTGAACTATTGTTTGATTCTAAGAAGACTTCAGGGGATATTTTTGGCTTAACAAGATCCCCAGGTGATTTGTGTGCACATTAAAGTTTGCAGAGTGCTGCTTTAGCACATCACCTTTGTGAGTTAATTTTTCTATTTAGAGATCTTTTTTTAGCTTACAAATTATGTCTTCTTGTGTTCTAGCTTGCCAAAATATTTTCCCTCTAAAAATGAGGAACATTATTATAACATCTGAAAGTGTTTTAATGTTTGGTAATAAACCATTGATGAACGTTTTGTTTTCTCCTCCCTAGGACACTCCTGGTGATCTTCGAAGAGTCCGTGTCATGGAATCGATCTCCATGATGGGAAGCCCTAAGAGCCTTAGTGAAACTTTTCTGCCTAATGGCATAAATGGTATCAAAGATGCACGGAAGGTCACTGTAGGTGTAATTGGAAGCGGGGATTTTGCCAAATCCCTGACCATTCGACTCATTAGATGTGGCTATCATGTGGTCATAGGAAGCAGAAATCCTAAGTTTGCTTCTGAATTTTTCCCTCATGTAGTAGATGTCACTCATCATGAAGATGCTCTAACAAAAACAAATATAATATTTGTTGCTATACACAGAGAACATTACACCTCCCTGTGGGACTTGAGACATCTGCTTGTGGGTAAAATCCTGATTGATGTTAGCAATAACATGAGGGTAAACCAATACCCAGAATCCAATGCTGAATATTTGGCTTCATTATTCCCGGATTCCTTGATTGTCAAAGGATTTAATGTTGTCTCAGCTTGGGCACTTCAGTTAGGACCTAAAGATGCCAGCCGGCAGGTATGTATTTTTAAAATTTTAATCTTATTTATCTGATATTTTATAAATAGCTAAACAATGATCAGACATTTAAAAACCATATTCTGACAGTCTCCAGTGATTATCATTTTGAAAACTATGCATGAGCACCTGAAGATTAATGTTCTCACTTTGTAAGGGCACATTTCTATTTGCAAAATGTTGTGGAAAACTGATAAAACAACTTGGATTTTCCTGTCATAACCAGCTTATTCAAGAAAAGGCAAGGTTGGCAAATGAATAATGTGATATTGTGCATTGAGTCTCTCCTTGCTTCCTTAAAAAGAGAAACAATAGCAAACATGCCTTTTTCTTTACGTTTGTCAGTCCATCCCTTCCTTTTTCCCCCATCCCTCCCTCTTTTCCTTTCTTCCTTCCTTGTGCCTATTTAGTAACACAGTATTCCATCTCTGTATCAAACAGCATTTAATATCCTCAATAAGAGTGCTTTAGAAGTACCTTTTTTTTTTTTACATAGATTAAGTGTTCATACATTTTAAATAGTACAATTTTATTTTAAGTGTAAGTTTTAATCTGTGTGGGAAGGTAGAGATGGACTGGATTTCTTAGATTCTCTTTCAGCATATGAGTCTATGAGAAGTGCTTTATTTAGTTCAACTGGAGAATAAAGCAGATGGGGAGCCTGTTAATGCGGTGGTAGAATGAGAGTCTTCATAAGTAAACATGTACAATAAATAGAGCACCTTAAAAATCTTTTAAAGATGTGGTTGTGCCTTTATAATTAAGCATCCTGAT